TTCCTTCAGGGTGTGAATGGCTACACAAAGCAAGTAGTCTCAATGTAACGTCCTTTATGAATACTACACTAAATATCAGTGAGGGTGATTGTATATTAAACTTTGAATAGATAATAAAATAAATCCATCATAAATTAAAACAATTTGTTCTAATAGAAAGGGAATTGCTGGAGTAACTCACTGAGAGTCTCTGAATAAGTATCACAATCTACAATAAAAATTTTGAGTCTCTCATTTTGCTGGGTTAATATAAAAAAGGAACAAAGTTAAACCAGAAACATTTGTATAACAGTGATTATTCTGTTATTCTTTCCACAACTAAGACAAGAGCAAAACCAATGTTGGAGGCTGTGACGTTCTTGACACAGAGCCCTCACTTTGTTCAGCTTAAGAGATTATCTTATCTAGTAGTTCATGTTTAAGAGAAGTGCAAGAATTTCACTTTAAAGTCATTAAAACCATTTGTCGACAGTGCAATGTGACTTTTATTTTGTAACCATTCTACCTTGCACTACCCTTCGCTGTAACCAAAATCCACCAAGAAGCAGCCCAGAAATAAGTTGGCAGAAAAGAGGATAAATTGTTCAAAAAGATTATAGAAGAGTAAGACATGTGGGACAGTGTGCATAACTGAGGGAGGTAGTTATTTAAATCAATGCAAACAACGGGGGAAAGACCCAGTGCCCTTGACAGTTTGGTCGACTCCACCACAGAATCACATGCAGTGATATTGTTCAATTCCTGTTTATGGATGAATTTTATTTATACTTTCATCTGGTGATCTGACCAATGCAGCAGGTAGAGATGGCATTTTACGCAAAAACAAATCACAGACATGAATAAAGGTGCAAATTGTTTGAACGTGTTAGGTTAAACCTGTTATCTGTAGATAGCTGCCTGTTACTGGTATCAATTTCTAACAAGGTTTGAAAACAAAAAACTTCGATCAGTTGCTGATCCAACATTGAAATACTTTGAAATAGGATTCCAAAGAAATGGGTAGTTTTTAAGGAAAATAATTTTGAGGCGTTTTCACCAAAAACATTTTTGAGCTTGTGGAATAATATGCAAAACCTTCCTGTTTGACCAAAGAATATTATTCCTGTAAACTTAGAAGGGTGCGAATCACTTTAGGGTGTCGTTAACAAAGCTTTAGCGATACTACAATCTACAAAATGTGAACTAACATTCTTATACAAATGGTCAAGCATGTATGGAATTACAGTCATATTAAATAAGAATTATGCATGCATAAACTTTTGTATGCACTAGAATAGAAACATTTGAGTAAAAACTCAAATTAATACAACCTTTTTCATAATCCAATCCAAGCGATATCTATTCAGTCACCAATATTCATTGAACAATTTCATTGAACAATTTCACATTCTACTATATATTCTTGGAGGTTAAAATCACATTACTTCAGTTTATTCAGTGCATTAATTTGAACATAAAGAGCTTTCTGGAAAACAAACTCAGATTTCCGATTTTCTGTGACACTTGTTTTGGAAGGGCCACACCGACATAATAATCTCAATGTGGGGAAACAATGAAACTCATAATGCAAAAAAACCAAAAAACATTTATTCATATAAACAGTAAATAATATGGGACCCAATATGGAACCCTGAGGATCTCCTTTATGGATAGTCAGGTAAATGTTAAATTTGGCTATGAGGCATTTGAACCCCTTTGCTGTGACACTCTTTTAAGTTTAGAAAGGAAAATAATTCTTTGGAATAAGGATGTTTTTTTTTAAACGGAAAAATTAGACTTTAATATGACTTTTAGATGTGAGATCTAAAAAAATAAATCTTTGATTGTTGGTTTGAACCACTTCTACGTTGTGACTCTCGTTTTAAACATCAGAACTAACTCAAATAGTTGATTAAGAATATCTTAGTTTATTTCAAAATGTATACAAACCCCCCTCACTACCACTTGATGATGGCATTATAACCAGTATAGCCAACCATGTTTTTTCTGAGCTCCAGCAGCCTTAACGCGCTTCCCAATAGAGCCCAACTGTAAAACAGAGCAAAACTGAAATAATTACACCTAAATGCAAATATATATGCTCAAAAATAGACTCTTATTATAAACGTCCTCTCATAAGGCTAAAACGACTCCGATATTAAATGTTTAATAGGAAATGGGGACAGAAATCAAACGAGCGCTCTCGCCCCCTCAGCGCTCCAACTCTCCTGCGCGCAGCGGCTTTTTTTCCTCCTCTTACCTTCAGACTGTTCATCCGCCTCTTGCATCCTCGAATCCACATCGAAAAGATCCGTTTCAAATCCAACTCATCGTTGGAAGGAACCCCCCTGAGTATGAGACTCTAACCTGAACTATAAAAGATTTTCTGAGCGCAGACCCTGAGAGGAGCGCCGAACATTTTTCGCCACACATCCGGGTGCCTGCTGCCTGGCTGCTCACTCACGGCGCATCCGAGAGGACTGACTGGCTGGCTGGTTGACTGGCTGGCAGCGGCCAGTCAATCCGCTGCCGTTTATTAGTCCCACTGATGGGGAAAGGGGCCCCGTGGAAAGTTGGAGCCACAGTGTGCGCAGAAAACACATGAGGGTGCAAAGCCTGACAGAAGAAGTCTCTTAATAAAAAATAGGAGATGTTTCCCTGCTTTTACAATTCTTTTAAAATATTATGACTTGGTTCTCCTATAAAGAAAATTATGCAAAAATAAAGTTTGGTCCTTGGCCCTCACACAGCGGGAAAAAGCATCGATGGCACTGGATGACTTTACCAATGTTGGTCATTTCCTAATCATCTTGATAATTTTTTTTAAATTATACTTTAATATATATATTATTAGCAAATAAACCCTTGATTGATAGACTTACCCCTCAGGGGTCTTCCCTTTATAATGAACGGCATTCTGTCACCTCGCTCTCCTCCCTGGCTTCATTGCGCCGTTTTCTGTTCTCACTCGACGGCGATGTAGAAGGAAATGAATTGTTCAGTGGCTCTGGTGGAAGGTTAGCAGTGATTGGATTACCTGTGCATGCACCGAGGATAAAACAGTTTCACCGCAGAGGCGTAATCCTGCGATTATAATCCCTGCTCCAATGTTCCCCAGAGCAGAGAGGCAGGTGCGCAGTTTGGCATTCAACAGGACCGAGTGGGCCTAACAGCTTCAAAGTAACATGACACCCAATGCTTGGTGATTTATACTTTTTTTTTTTTTTTTTTTGTCACTAAAAGTCCTATTTTATTTATCGATAGTCTGAGGTAGGCCTAGTTTATGAAAGACTGGATAGTGTAGATTGAGGTATGATAAAGATCTGCTTTTTCTTTTTAAATCAAAGGTGCTTTGAGTGGAAGTTCAACTTTCCTCTTGCATCCTTAACTGTATTTATTTAATTTGATAGATTTTAAGTATATAGGCTAACGTTAATGTTTTTGCATAAAGGTAATATAAAACCAGATTACAAGTAGAGATCCATCAATCCGATACTGAGATTTGGGCTCCATCCAATATCCAATGTTGGATACAGAGCAATATAGTTACAGCGATCTTGTGGATTCAGTTTTATGATTGCAATGCTGATTACATCATTGTACAGAGAACACACAGCAGGTAGTGATCATGTATATCTGTGTTAACTTTTCATTTTTTTACAATGTGTATGTAAACCATGATGCCTTTACTGACATTGTAAGGTATATGATATAGGATATCGGCCAATTTGTTCAGCGCATGTATCTGTATCGGATCTCTAATTAGACATGACAGCTCATATAGACAAATTCATATTATTTTGGAGTATCAATACTAATCAATAAAAACAAGCCTGTAAACTACTTTTAGTGGAAGTTCTTGTTAAAATGGCTTCGGTTTTGTGTTTATAAATTTTTATTTCACGTCATGTGCGCCATCCAATGCAGATCATTGGTGCCATCCACATCTAGTGAAAACTAGTGTAATAGGATGAGTCATATAAACGAACACTCATTGGTTAGCTAAAGGAAATCATCAGAAGCAAGCAGGTGTTCTTCAAACTGCAAACGTGAATTGCCTATGCCATGCTACAATGTTGGATTCAGAAAAAGATGTTGAAATGTCTGAAAGGTTGGACACAAAGGTCTTCAGTAGATGAAGACCAACAGGACCTCCCTCATCCATGTCCCTATCTCAAAGAATATTTTCAAAATAGTTGAAAAATTGAGCTTTCATTTCATATGGTGGTATCTGGCTGTTGTTGTTTTTTTAAGGTTACTTTATACTTCTATACTTTAGGTAGTTTTTGGAGCACATACTTTTTCACTTTTACTTGAGTAAAGAGAGGTCAAGTTGATACTTCAACTTTTGCCAGTGTTTTTAAACTGCAGTATCTATACTTCTACTTAAGTAACAAATGTGTGTACTTTTGACACCACTGGAAAGTTGTAGAAAGCCTTTGGAGAATATCTTAGAAAACAAAGAGACCCCACTACCCCACAGTTTGAGCCCCACTCCCACACTGTTCCCCTGGGCACCGCACAATGGCAGCCCACTGCTCCCCAAGGGGATGGGTTAAATGCGGAGAGTTCATTTTGTTGCTCTGTACTTGTGACAGTGTAAAGACAATAAAAGCTGTAAAGAAAGAAAGAAAAAAGAATAAGGCTCAGAATGAGCAGCACTCTGACATGATCTGCTGAGAGGACCACCATTCATTTCTAGTTGTTTTTTTTTTTTTTTTTTTTTTTTTTACACAAATACATGCCTGATATTTTTTAAACGAGGTGGAAAACAAGCATGTTTGTTTAATCACTCTGAAGATTTAAATAAAAATCATAATCTACCTGTTGTTTTAAATTTTTATTTTTTCCGGTGTGACATTTATGAACTGTAGAAACTTCAAACTTTTCATTCATCTGTGAATTTAAAAGCTGAAATGTTTTGGTTTTTTTTGCCACTGTATCCATCCACAGTGAGTGATTTTCCGGGATTTTTTTTTTTTTTTTTTTTTTTTTGAGCGCCATTATTTCCGGGTACGGCGGAAGCTACAAGTGTTTGCTGGAAATCCTTCCGAAGATGGAGACTTTAACCGCGGGACATATGATGAGCTTAGCTGCTCTACAGAGACAGGACCCTTACATTAACAAGCTGCTAGACGTTACCGGTCAGGTAGCTCTTTACAACTTTAACTCCAAAGTGAACGAATGGGTAAGTTTGGGAAAAATCGGCGAAGCTAGGTACATCTTTATGTAGCATAATAGCTAATCTATCTCGAAAAAACTAATACTCTTATTATAGAATCTGAAATAAATGTTATTATATTTAAAAGTTTAGCCTGGCAAATGCCGTGTTTGATTCAGTTTCTTATTCTCCTAATTTTCTTCACATTAAAAACAAATAATCACTGTGATGGAGTTAGCTGAGCCGAGTTAGCATTGGCTAACTTTAGCCGTTGTTCGTTTGTTTGTTTGTATTTTATTACTCGGTAGCTTCTGATTAGCTGCTGAACGTCTATTTTCTTTTTTTTAAGGAGAAAACTGAAATCGAGGGAACTTTGTTTGTTTATTCCAGGTAAGTGCACAAGACACGAGCGTTTAGTTGATTTGCAGAATCGCGAAGGTTGTTTACTGAGCAGCGTGACGTCGCTGTCATTTGACGTATTTATCGCACGTGCGCAGGCCGCACGCCTTGTAAACAACATGGACATGTGTTGTTGAGGCCCTATAGTTCACTGGAATCTTGGACTCTATTTCAACTTTCAGGCATTACATAACAGAAGAAAGGGAAAATTAAAGAATCTTCTTTAGCTTCTATTTTTTCTAAAAGCTAGCTTAATGAGTTTAAAAGCTCACATTTTTTCCCTAAACGGTAGCTACAGTGCTACCTCCCAGTTGAATATTTAAAATACTGCAAAAAAGCTTTGCACTGTAAACGCATACTATTTTTAAAACAACATATACTACAGTATATCTACTTGAAATTAAGGCTTCTGCTTTTCCTTAAATGTATATCTTATTAACCCCACAAAAAATAAACAAAATAGAATTTTTTTTCCACAACTGAAAATAAGATCACATTTATAAACAATAAATACGAAAGGTTTACACATTATAAACCAGATTCACTTTCATTACAAAACCAGTGTTTGTAATACAAGTCCCCGTTATTCATGCACATTATGGTAATGATTGTTTATTGTAGCCTAAGGAGGGTATTATGAAAGTGTTCTGGTGAACAATAATTAAGACATTTCAACTAAGGTATTTATCAAAACAGCTGTAATCAGAACTTTTGTCTGTACTACCTGGTGGCTTGGATGAAAAAGACAAAGCTAAATTTCTCCAGTATCCATACGGGCTACTATCTTTTTGGCATCCACCTTTGCATTTAATATGTAGCAGTAAGAGATGAACAGGGTTTTACTAAGGATTTTCTTTATATAATGTATCATTAGAAAACATATCATTATAACATTTTCCAATATTATCAGTTTTTGGTTATTTTGCAGCTCTTAATGCAGTGTGATTTTTAGATTCACTATTTATAAATAAATATTAGGGATGCAGGATATTGGGATTTTGGCCGATATGCCGATATTTTAAAACTCATTTAGCCGATGACCGATATCCATACCGATGTTAAAGCTGGACAAAAATAAGTAGTCATTGAAAATAGCAGTTTTGTTATCCATTTCTGACACTTTGAAAAATAATTTACTCAAATATATTTTCATATGCTGATATCTAATTGATTTTTAAAAACGCAGTATCGATCTATTTTACTTTCAAAATCTCGTGAAATTTCATTGTTCTGTTACAAACTCT